CCTCCTCCTCCTCCTCCTCCTCCTCTTCTTTCTCCTACTCCTCGTCATCCTCCTCTTCCTCCTCCTTGACCTCCTCCTCCTCCTCTTCCTCCTGCTCCGGCTCCTGCTCCTCCTCCTGCTGCTGCTGTTGCTGCTGCTGCTGCTCCTCCTCCTCTTCCTCCTTTTCCTTCTCTCCTCCTCCTCCCTCCTCCCTCCTCCCTCTCCCTCCTCGCTCCTCCCTCCTCCCTCCTCGCTCCTCCCTCCACCCTCCTCGCTCCTCGCTCCTCGCTCCTCGCTCCTCGCTCCCTCCCTCCTCCTCCCTCCTCCCTCCCTCCTCCTCCCACCTCCCAACGCCCCCCTCCCTCCTCCTTTCTCCCTCCTCCCTCCTCCCTCCTCCCTCCTCACCCTCCTCCACCTCCTCCTCCTCCTCCTCCTCCTCCTCGCTCCTCGCGTCTCGCTCCCTCCCTCCTCCCTCTCTCTCCTCCCTCCTCGTCCCTCCTCCCTCCTCCGTCCTCCCTCCGCCTTCCCCCTGCCTCCCCCTGCCTGCCTCCTCCTCCTCCTCCTCCTCCTCCTCCTCCTCCTCCTCCTCCTCCTCCTCCTCCTCCTCCTCCTCCTCAGGAAGTGTGGAATCCAAGCTAGGACCCAGGCGTCTGTCAAGTTGTATACCCAGGGCAGCGGAAGGAGGTGCGTGCCATCCGAGGCGCAGAAGGCCTTGGCGCGCCTCGCCTTCTCTCCTGGGGGTAGGTTTGCTGAAGCGTCCCCGATGGGTCCCCCCGAGGCGGTCCGTGTTGCGCTTGCGGCGGCTGATGCTGTGTGTGCTGGTTCGGGGCCGCCCGCGGGCCCTGGGGAGCCGTCGGATGGAGGAGCCGCCTCAGGGGCCAGGGTGGACGATCCGTTTGCCAGTTTCACGGCCCTGGGGCATCGGATGCAAACGAATGGGCCTTTTTTGTTTTGTTTGTATTGTGGGTCCTACTCGAGCCAACGGATTGGTCCCCTGTTGAAGGGAGTCTGCAGGCAGCCTGTGAAGATGGCCAGAGGTGCCAGGGCTGCTATAGATCTCATCCTGGAGGGTAAACATCCGGTCTCGAAGGTGCCCTTTTAGTTTCGGGTCCCGGGAGGCTGGCCTCAGTGGCCAGACCGTGGGCTCTGGCGTGCAGGGCGCTGGCGGGAAACTAGCTGGCGTCGCTATGACTGTAATCCTGTAATCCTCCTCCCACTCCTCCTACCTCCTCTTCCTCCTCCTCCTCCTCCTCATCATCATCATCATCATCAGCATCATCATCAGCATCATCATCATCATCATCAGCATCATCATCAGCATCATCATCATCAGCATCATCATCAGCAGCAGCAGCATCATCATCAGCATCATCATCAGCGTCATCATCATCATCATCATCATCATCATCATCAGCATCATCATCATCATCATCATCATCATCATCAGCATCATCATCATCAACATGGTCATCATCATCATCATCAGCATCATCATCAGCATCATCAGCATCATCATCATCAACATGGTCATCATCATCATCATCATCATCAGCATCAGCATGATCATCAGCATCATCATCATGAGTAGCATCATCATCAGCAGCATCATCATCATCATGATTATCAGCATCATCATCAGCAGCATCATCTTCAGCATCATCATCACCATCACCATCACCATCACCATCAACATCAACATCACCACCACCATCATCAACATCATCACCATCAGCATCATCATCACCATCATCATCATCATAATCACCACCACCATCATCATCAACAGCATCAGCATTACCATCATCATTATCATCAGCAGCATCATCATCAGCAGCATCATCATCACCATCAGCACCATTATCGTCATCAGCGTCGTCAGCATCATCAGCATCATCACCATCACCATCACCATCACCATCATCATCATCATCCTCTTCATCATCATCATCATCATCATCATCATCATCATCATCATCATCAGTATCATCATCATCATCATCATCACCATCACTATCATCATCACCACCACAACCACCACTACCACCACCACCACCACGACCATCATCATCATCATCACCATCATAATCATCATCAGCAGCAGCAGCAGCATCATCATCATCATCCTCATCATCATCATCATCATCATCAGCATCATCATCATCAGCATCATCCTCATCCTCTTCCTCTTCCTCTTCCTTCTCCCCCCCCACCTCCTCCTTCTTCTTCTCCTCCTCCTCCTCCTCCTCCTCCTCCTCCTCTTCCGCCTCCTCCTCCTCCGTCTCCTCCTCCGCCTCCTCCTCATCCTCCTCATCCTCCTTCCTCTCCTCTTCCTCCTCCCCCTCCTCCCCCTCCTCCTCCTCCTCGTCCTCCTCGTCTTCCTCTTCCTCCTCCCTCTCCTCCTCCTCCTCCTCCTCCTCCTTCTCCTCCTTCCTCCTTCTCCTTCCTTTCCAACCACCCGACGTGCTGCGCGGCCGCCCGCCTCTCCCTCCGGCAGCGCCATTACGCGGCGGGGCCGGGGCGGGCGGCCGGGGACCCGGCGGTGGGCGCCCCGGCACGGACAGCTGCAACGCCCCGCCCGAGGGGAAGGAGGCCTCCCTGCTCCTACTCCTGCTCCTCCTCATCCGCTTCTCCTCCTCCTCCTTCGCCTCCTCCTCCTCGTCGTCCTCCTCCTCCTCCTTTTGCTTCTCCTCCTCCTCGTCCTCTCACCTCCTCTCACCTCCTGATCCTCCTCCTCCTCCACCTCCTCCTCCTCCTCCTCCTCCTCCTCGTGGCCCCCTGACAGTTTCGCAGATGGGGGAGCAGGTGGTTTCCAACATCTGATTCTCGCCTCAGCGCCGCGCGCAGTGTTCTTACAAGTTGGTCACAGGTTCAAATAATCAAATGGTGGCAGTCCCTGAATGGTGTTCAGGCACGATTTGGGAATGTCAGAACACAGCCTTCCCGGTGACGATCGGTGAGTAATAATTGTGCTCTGGGATCGATTTAGGATTGTCAGGACGTACTGTTCCGTTGATTGCGGCGTTGAAGTCCCTGAATTACATGTTTAAACAGCTGAACGTTCTCAGACGGTCATCGCCCGATGGGGCACTGCTCGCAATGGAAACAATGCTTGTATGGGGCCTATGAAAAAAAGGGAGCTTGGAAGGGGGGTCTACTGCAACATCGTTGATGCGTTTTGGGTTTACACTAGACCCTCCTCCTCCTCCTCCTCCTCCTTTTCCTCCTCCCCCTCCTCCTCCTCCTCCCCCT